AAGTGCCATAGAGTTGGTTTCTACCTATAGTGGCCCTGCAATAGTTATTTATTGTTGTTAAGTGCCATAGAGTTGGTTTCTACCTATAGTGGCCCTGCAATAGTTATTTAGTGGTAGAATTCTGATTTTTCTATGTAGAAGATCTCAGTTTAATTCCTGCTGGGGTGTTCATGCAGAACCACCATTTTTAAAGCTACAATTTATTGAGTATTTGTTATGTAATAAAACCAAAACCAAACCCAATTATTGAGTCAATCCTAAGCTCTAAATCTTTATGGGAGCAGAAGTTCTCATCTTTCTCAGTCAGAGAGGCTGGTGGGTTTAAACTGTCAACCTGTAGGCAGTGCTTATCCTACAGTGCCACTAAGCCTCCTTTTGTGTGTACTTTGTGTTGTGTGCTGTCGAGTTGATTCCAACTCATATTGACCCTAAATAGGATTTCTGAGTATGGCTGGTGGGTTTGGAGTTAGTTCTGACTCACAGTGACCCTGTATAGGGCTTTTGAGGCTGTAAATATTTACGGGAGGAGAGAGCTTCATCTCTCTGCTGCAGAGTGACTGGGAGATTCAAACTGCTGACCTTGTGGTTAACAGCCAAACTCATAACCCACTACACTGCCAGGGTTCCTGTACTATATACGGTTGTTGTTAAGTACTGTCAAGTCGATTCTACCCCATAGAAACCTTGTATGTGTTGTGGGAGCAGCTGGTGGATTTGAACCACTGACCCCACGGCCTGCTGTCCAGTGTCTATCTTATAGCACCACATCAGAATCTCTGCTATACTAGTACTATAGTGTTGTTGTTGTTGTTAAGTGCCGTCGAGTTGGTTCTGATCCATAGTGACCCTGTATGGGGTTTCTGAGGAGCTGCTGGTGAGCTTGAACTACCGACCTTGCAGTTTAAACGGCTTTGCAGTCTGGCACATTAACTCACAGCGCCACACCAGGACTATACTAGGCACTACCAATTTCTCATTTAATCCCTCAGTGGATGTAGATGATGAAATTAAGTCTGGGAGAGATTAAATCATTTACCGAATAAGTAATAAAAGATGAAGCCAGGTCAGGTGATTCCAAAGCCCATACTCTTAAATTACGGTTCTGTCGTATCTTCTAAATGATGTTAGTGGCGGGTGAAGACAGGTGCTGGCCCATACGTTCTCATCCTGACTATTCAGCCGGTTTCTGCCTTCATTTCTTCAGGTTTATTATTAAAGAACCAGCATCCTTCTCTTTCATAATTTCCTTCCTGGAATTCTCATCCCACAGTGACCTATGGGGAAGATAAAATGTTTGCTTACATGTAGAAACCGTTAATGTATCAACCAATCTACTTCCAAAAGTAATTTATGAAACCCTCAAGCAGCATTGAGGTGTTAGAACAGTGCTGGTTCTTGTTCTCCATCACCTAGGAGGGTAGAACGACAGTGGAAATTGCAGGGAGAGATTTAGGATGGTATTCAGAAGATTCCCAGACAGTTAGAATGAATAAATACAAATAAATTACAGAAAGGCACTATTTACTCTTTGTAACTGACTCGCTGGCACTTAACAATAACAACAACAACAGTAGAGAGCCCTCCTGGTCTTGGTGTGGTGCTGTAAGATAAGCACTGGACTGCTAACCACAAGGCTGGCCGTTCAAACCCACCACCCGCTCACTCCTCAGGAACCGTATATGGGTGACTATGAGTCATAACCGACTCAGCTGCACTTAACAACAAGAACCTTCAGAAGAAATGCCTTTATGGTCTTCAAAGCAGTATCCCATGCCACCTCAGTAGGTTCTTACAGGAATTATTACTAGGAGTCCCGGGGTGATGCAAATGGTTAAGTGCTGGGCTACTAACTGAAAAGCTGGCGGTTCAAACCCACCTGGAAGCACCTTGGAAGACTTGGAGATCTGACCCCAAAAGGTCACAACCTTGAAACCCCTGTGGAGTGCAGTTCTGCTCGTACACTGGAAACAACTTGGTGGAAAGTTATCAACAGGAAACTAAAACTCAGAGGTTATGCTACTTACTTCTGGTCATTGGTGATTAAGTCAGTCTACTGACTTCTAGAACTTTATTTCTTCCACAAACGCTGTGCTGAGGACAGGAAGATGTGCTAGGTCATTGCTCATTCTTGTGCCATCTTTAGCTGTGTTTGGTATATTTGAGTCCATTGTTGTGCTAGTATTTAAACTTGTTTTCTGCAGGTTTCTCTAACTAGTGAAACAAGTTTATACCAGGGAGGAAATGGATGGAAACTCCCATTTGGTTACTCTAAAATAGAACATACCACAGTGTTACTGCACCTTAGTGGGCATCTGTTAGTAAACACAAATGGCCCCAGTGGAATCGAGGAGAGCTTAAAGACATAGAGTGAGTCCAAAAAACTAATTCTAGGTACCAAACGGTAGTGATGTTTGTTAATGAGAATTACTTCCATCGGAAAGACTGGGCATATTTTCTTGTCTTGTGTTGTAGTGAAGCAAACATGGGCTCTGAAACCTGACAAACTGAGGTACAAATCCTGACTTCACTTCCTAGTTGTGTGACTTCCAGAAGAGTCTTTAACCTCTTTGAGCCTCGGTTTCCTCAGCTGTAAAATGAAGATGAACTAAGCTCTGGGCTGAATGTGATGGCTAAGTGAAATGACAGAAACCAGGACCTGCTCAACAATTTTATTTACCTCCCAAATTAATCGTGAAATTTCATACATCCTAAAATATCCTTCCATTGTGTTTGTGAGAAAGACAAGCCCATAATTCCTGGGATTCCTCAGTGAAATGCCCTAAGCTTTGTTTCCAGGGCCTCTCAGTGTTTTTCTTCAAGCTGTACTCTCAGAAGTCCCAAGGCAGAAGTATCCATGAGCCCAGCTGACGAACTCTGATTGCTGCTGCTCATGGATCATCTGACCTTGAAGATGATGTAGAGGTTGGCACTCCTAGTACCTTAGCCACAACTGTAAAACCTCTCTCCTTTGGCCCAGCTGCCAGAGTGTGAACGTGACCACCTTTCTTCACCCTCACTCACCCAGCAGCCTCCTCATCTTGGCTGCTGGCATTTCAGTCTTCATTTCTGCATGTTTTCCCAATGATTTATGTCCTAAACCACAGTGGTCTCAACCCACAGGCCTCCAGCCTCCCACCTGCCGGAAGTCATTGGGAATTTAAAATAACAGTGAAAACACATAACTGTGATTTATTATGTCAAGAGCGGTTTCCTTTCTCTTGAAGACAGTTTCCAGAAGTGATTTTCTTTAGGTCACCTGCTCTGTGTTGAGTGTGTCACCTAAAAAAAATGAACAACAACAAAAAAAGACCTGAAATGTAGGAAGATGTGCAGTTACAGGAGAAAGAAGGTTGTTTTCTGTGAGCAGCAGTCTATCACATAGAGCAGGATGTCCACATTGGCTCCCTTTCCCCGCTGGAGAGGCGGTTGATTCTATTTTCTTCTTCCAGGTGTGCCCACTCTGGTCTCTCTAAAAGCACACAACAGGACGAGGTGTTAGAAATGCAGGAATAGAGTCCCGGTTTGCTCTCCCGCCAGCCCTCTGTGTGACGTGCTGAATCTGTAGACAAAAGTGGTGGTATCTGCCTGATTTCATTCCAGCTTATTGGGAGGTCATATGAGGCACAGTGAAAGCCCTAGGTCAATTCTAGAGTTGCAGAATGAAGTAAGTTGTCACACTTTTTTGTCAGGACATATATTTAACCATGGTATGGATGTTTTTCCCCCAAAAAGTAAGACTGGGAAAAACAAAACTTAAGTCTGGTTTGAAGGCCATTCAAGTACAAATAGTTTGTAAGTACGGGGGATAGTATTAGATTTTAACATAAGGAGACTTAGACTTCAAAAGCCTTGAAAGAAAGTATAAAACCACTCTCCCAAAAAACTCTAAGTACCCTCTTTGTTTGTCTGTAACAATTTCCCAAACTATTTTAAGCCACATGTATTCTCAAGGGAGAAACCATCACCAAAGCATGGTTGGAGAAGTTTCATTTCTCTGCTACTGCTGTGAAAATACCCCTATGCTAATTTAAGAATAGAAAAGTTTTCTAATAAAATCAAACAGGATGTGTGAGAAAAGGCATCCTAACTCTGCCTGTCTGTCTGCCTATCTATGGACTCTGTCCGTCTGTTCTACCTATTCTTAAAGGATTTGGGATGGCTTTATTAATGTCAGCTCATGTGGAAGAAGACAATTATAGTCCCTGCTTGCTTTTTCTGTTATGGACAGGGCAGTCATCTTCTAAAGAGCCATGTTTATCCCTGCCCTATTTTGGGGCCCAGGTACAGGATTCCTATTTTTAGTAGCTCGGTGGTATTGTGAATCTGAGATTTCAACCACCAGTGAGTCAGAAGGTCTGGCTGCCCAGAGATCCATGACTCAGATAAGCAGAAATAGTCTGTTCACCAGGAGATGAAGACTTAAAGGGGAGCTTTTGTGCTTAGTGAAAAACATAAACGAAAACATAACATTTAAATAGAAAGCTATTACCCTTCCGGAAAGATGCTTTTCATGCTGTCTGGAAGTTCTCATTCCAGACCCAGGGAAAAACGGGTGCTACTGGCATGGGAAATCCAGGCTGATTCATTAGCCATCTCTTAGTCTTTACGGGCCCCCAAGGTGTCAGGAAGAGGTGTGTGGATTATATCAGTCTCCTGAATAAACAGAACAGCCTCCCGGGCAGGAATAGTGGATAGCAGAGGCAGGTGGAGTGCAGGTGTTGGGGCAGATGAGGGTCACAGAGAAGAGACTTTGCTCTTCTAAGAATCAGAAGCTAAGAAAAAGGTAGTTTCTTTTGAATGAGAGGAAGCAACAGGTTGATATTTTCTTTATAGCAGATTGGACCACAAACGCTATAGATAGAACTCATTCATCTATTCATCATCCATCATCTGCCTATCCATCCACCTATCCATCCATCCATCCATCCATCCATCCATTCAACCAATTGTATAAACATATATGTTGTTAGGTGCTGTTGAGTAGGTTCTAACTCATATAGCGGAATGGCTGGTGAGCTTGAATCACTGACCTTGTGGGTAGCAGTCCAGTGTTTAATCTACTGTTCCGTATCAGGACTCTAGCTGACTACATATGAATACTAGGTCCTTTGCTTATACTAGAAGCGTTGAGAGGCAATTATGGTCCAAAATCTCTTCTAAGACTAAGGTTTTATGATTCTAAGTTGTCAGGTACTTTGACACTTCAAAGAGTCTATATTGAGGTTTTGCCCCATAGATGTAAACATTAAACTCAAGATATATCACTGGATAAATAAATGCAAATGTTTTGAGCCATGTGAGTACCCCCTTTGCCCCCTATTCCCAGACTCAGACCCCTTTAAGAGCCAAACACCCACAGGATGTGGGCCCTCTGGAGTGTGGGCTGAGGGTCCCAGTTGTATAAGCTTCCCCCTGCTGTTCCTGTAAAGATTTACAGCCTTGGAAACCCTGTACAGGGTCGCTATGAGTTGGAACTGACTCTATGGCACCACCACTACCCAGTGTCACCAGAGAGAAAATTGGTATATCATGGAACCTGGGATAGTTGTGTGTTTTTAGCTGTTGTTTAGATTTTCCACTGTTCCATGAAAGCTTCTGAATCTCTTTCCTAAATAACGAAGTCCTGTTTGGTATTTGAAATGTTTGGAGCACAGTGTTCAACAGAGCAGAACTAAGTTGCTGACAAAATACTGTCTCAGCCATTTAATAATAATAGCTAACATTTGCATAGCACTCTACAGTTTAACAAAGCACTTTAAATATACGCTGCCTCACCGAATCTTCTCAGCAGCCCTATGGGATTTCAGTGCAGGGTTATCATCAGCATTTTGACATTGGAAATGGGCTGCCTGGGGAACAAGCTCCAGATCCCAAGCTGATAAGACCACATGTTGGGCTTTTGACTCCTGAACCAGAACTTTTGCCCTTCACCACAGTGACCACACCCACTCCTGGCAGCCCTCTGTAACATCTCACATTCTCCCAGCAGTCAGTCTTCTCCCAGCATCTAGAGAGTGACCTTTCAGTGCTAGGATCCCTCTCTCTGCACATTCCTAACTCATCATCCCACCCTACCCCTCGTTATCACTGTCACATTGTACATTCTCCACAGACAGACTGGACTTTTCTCCATCCTTGGAACAAACCATTGTCAATTTCAGGTCCCAATGTTGTTAATTGCCATCATGTTGGTTCTGACTCATAGCCACTCTGTATAGGGTTTCTGAGGAGTCATTGGTAAGTTTGAACCACCGACCTTGCAGTTAGCAGTCCATTGCTTATCTTACAGTGCTACACCAGGATTCCATTAGTTGGTTCCATATAAGGTGGGTAAGATACAATTTTTTTTTTTTTGTCTACTGTAGCTTCTGTCTGGTGATGGTGGTTATGTTCCATGGAGTAAGTTCTGACTCATAGCGACCCTGTATAGGGTTTCCAAGGCTATAAATCTTTATGGGAGCAGAAAGCATCATCTTTCTTCCACGGAACTACTAGTGGTTCTGAACTGCAGACAGTGGATTAGCAGCCAGATTTGTAACCATTACGCTTCTGTCTAGCAAGGGCCTAGTCAGCAGGCAACCCTTCAGAATCAGTAAGTCAGAGAACCTGTCCTGAACGCTGAGTTGGGCATCTATGTGGACATGACAGTATCACCATGGAGTCGAGCAAGAAGAGGACCTCAGCATGGACCCCTTGTGGGCAAGGGTCTGTCTGAAATAGATGCTGAGAAGGAAATGGAATGTTGTTTCAAAGATCAGTTGACCCATTGCATCAGCAGGTCTTGGTTGTGTTGCTCAGGGTATCTCAGGGGCTGTAAACCAGAGATCTCCCCCAGCCCCCTGCAGTGGCCATCCCCACTGAGTCAGTGGACAGTGACCACAGATGGCTCATCTCAGCCATTGTCCTTGCACCTGCTATTCTATTGCCCTTGAGGGGATAGATTGTTATTGGGGAGTAGGGTATGAGGATTAGGACAGAGTGAGTGTCCAGCGTACCTGTGAATGCACAGAACAGAATTTGAGGAGTATGCGATTATCAGAAGACTTGAGGGGGATCCCTTGGCAGGCAGTGAAATTAGCGTGTCATGGGCTTATTCTAAACTTAGCAAATGAGTGCCTCTCCTCCTTGTCTCTTGCTTTACCTAATCCATCCCTTTACAGTTGGTCTATTGTATTAATCACCCTACAAGAAGTTTAACAGGTTTTATAAGCTAACTCGATAAGCTTATTAAGAGTTGCAGTATTGTTTTATGATAAGAATTCTTTTTTTTTCTTAGATTCAAGAAGTAGCTTTTTCTTTTCATTTAAAGAGTAACTTTGAAGTGATAATCATACAACTAATTGTTTGAAATTAAACAACATAATCAACATAAAAAACTCAGGCCAATAATTAAAAAGAAAAAAAATCATTTGAAATCTGAGATCTTGGGGACACTATATGTATATCATTCCAGCCTTTACAATGCAAATATTAAGAAAAAAATGTCATAGAGTTCTTTCAACCCATGGCGACACTATGTATGTCAGAGTAGGGTTTCAGTGATTGCATAGGATTTCAATGGCTGATTCTTTGGAAGTAGATTGCCAGACCTTTATTCTGAGGTACCTTTGGGTAGATTTGAACCATCAACATTTTGGTTATCAGCAGAGTGCATTGTACCACCATTATACTATCCAAGGACTCCCCATGCAAATGCAGAAATCTATCATTAAAAAAAAAATTCTAGTATGTATACTACAGTGTCTTTTCTTTAATTAAATATCATGAATATCCTGCCATGACATCCTATCTGAATCTATAGCATTGTTTTAGTATTTGCCTGATAATTGAATTATATGAGGTTAACCATATTGTGTTTAGTCAAGTCTTTGTTTGGGAAGCATTCAAGTTGTTTTATTATTATCAACAGCACAGTGAAGAATAATTTTACATAAACATCTCTTTTTTTTGTACTTATGTAGTTCCTAAGGATGAATTCTAGTAGTATGCTCTGGAGGTGAAAAGTTATGCCATTTGCTATTTATTGTCAAATTGTACTTAGCAAAGCCTGTCTAAATCCAGATTTTCATCAGCAGAGTTTGAGTTTTTCTGGTTACTTACACCCATGTCAGCTGGATGAGCATTATCCTTACTCATCTAAAAGATGGAAACAAAACCAAAACCCCTGGACCAACTTCATTCTTTTAGTACTCAACCCAAGAGCATCTGTTAAAACCTCTCACAAAATGTGGTTGGACCCCTGTTAACAACATTTTTATTTGTACGTACAGTTAAGACAGACAATATTCTGGTATAATAAATTCTGGACAGTTCCTAGAACTGTAATGAGAGGTAATTGATTTGATCCATATCAGAAATTTCCTTGAAGAAAGAGATCATAGTAAATGCTCAGTATTTTAATTTATGCCTTGGGGCCTCAGTTTTCCAACCTGCTTTTGACATTTGATGACACTCAGCTTTAGGTGTCTTCAAGACCATGCCAGGAGAAGGAGATGTGTGGGGAAGGGGCTGGAGCCCTGGCCATGCCGCTCATGACCTTGATAACCTCAGAGAGTCCCCTTTTCCTCATCTCCTGAGGTGGTTCGTAGGACAGATCTTGGGCATTGGTTACACAATGCTTAGTTCAAATCCCTTTTTACCCACTTACTAGCTATGTAGCTTTGAGCAAGTGATTTAAACTCTGAGCCTGTTTCTTCACCTACAAAATGTCTATGCTTCCTCATGAAATTGTAAGGATTAAAGAGCATGTGAAGAGTTTGGCCCACAAAAATCATTTTTTCTTTTGCCCTTGCCCTTTCTTACCCACTCAAATGAGGGATTAAATTAGTTGATCTCTACGAACCCTTTTGGAGTCCTGGTCTGGTGTGCTGCAGGTTAATATGCTGGACTGTAATGTCAGTTTGAACCGTAAGATCAGCAGTTGAAGCTCACCAGCTGCTCATTGGAACCAACTTGACAGCACATAACAACAATAACAACACAAATCCTTTTAGATCTCATTTTCTTAGGATTCCAACTCAGCTCAAGTGAGGCTCTTCCTTTCTGAGCAAAAACTCCAGGAGATGCTGTGGGGTCGTAGCTCTGGGAGGTGATGACTTTGCTGGCCTTTGCGTCTTGCATGGGTTGTCAGGAACCTCTGCACTCGTGTGCTAGGCTTCTTCTGGATAGCCCTAATTCAGGACACTGGCCAGGAGCTCCTTCAGTAGATTGTGTGGTTATCTTATGGCCTTTGTGGGCTTTTCTTGCCAGTTTAAACGTGAACTGAGGACAAGGACCGTGTCTGTCAGTCTGACATCTCCTCCAAATCGTCCACTCACCATCCCCATTTCCACATACACACACTGAATTGTGATCAAGTGTGCAGCCGTGTGCCAGTGGGCTGACATCCAGGGTAACTGATTGGTTTGTAGCAAGTTTCACTGATAGGGAATTTATTTCAGTGGCTGTGACGTCCAATTCCCCACAGTTTGGGATTGATATATTTCAGCTCATCTGCATACCGACTAGTATCCCCATTCAGTTCTCTGTCGCATTTAACCCTCACAGATAGTCTTGGCGCAGGGAAGGTGCTAATCCCATGTTTCATAGGCAGATTTTTCCTTGTTCAAATGGGTTAAAAACAGTACAAAACATATGATGATGGAACCCAGACATATGTTGTTGTTGTTAAGTGCTGTCAAGTTGGTTTCGGCTCATAGTGACCCCGTATAGAATTTCCAAGGGGTGGCTGATGGGTTTGTACTGCCGACTTTGCTGTTAGTAGTTATGTGCTTGTCCTACAGTTTCACACCAGGACTCCAGATATGTGTTAGAGAATGGGAAGAAAACACCATTATTTCCAAATACTAGAAAAGTAGGATCCCTACATAAATATTGACCATGTAAATATTATCTTAAGGAATGTCTTCTTTTGGCCCATGAAGCAGTATAGCCTAGCAGATTACAATATAAATAAAATTGTTGAGTTGTAATTCAGAACCCTGCTATGTAGTGGTTAAGTTGCTAACTGAA